GGTACATACCTGTGATCCCAGCTACTAGGGAGGCTGAGGCAGGAGAATGGCTTTAGCCAGGGAGGTGGAGGTGCAGTGAGCCAAGATTGTGCCATTGCACTCCAGCCTGTGGGACACAGCAAGACTTTGTCTCCAAAAAAAAAAAAAAAAGGCAACTATATCTGAATGTCAGGAAGGTTTGTGGGTTGCAGCTGCTACCAATGTTGGAGACACACACCGCTTCAAAATATGCAGAGAACTTGAGTGTTGAAACACTTACAAGGAAGCATAAATTAATTCTTAAGTTCCTCTTTTCAAGTAGCCTAAATGCAGTAGATTCTTGCATCATAACAAGTTTCATTTCTCAGAAGTGCTGAGAGCCTGTTTTTCTGTTTCTCCTCATGTTCCAAATTATGCCTCCAGACATACACATGAGTTAGAGTAATATGGGTCAGCATGTTAGTTCATGCCAATAATCCCAGCACTTTGGGAGGTTGAGGCCAGAGGATCACTTGAGGCCAGGAGTTCAAGACCAGCCAGAGCAACATAATGAGACCCCCCCATCTCTACAAAAAAATTAAAAGTTTGTTTAAATAAAAATAATAAAAGATTTTAAAAGAGGCCAATATAGCTACTCACTGTAGCTGAGGAACATTTAGCCATTTAAATAATTCATATCACTCTCTAATTTGTATATAAGATCTAGACACAGAATGTATGATGCAGTAGCAGTCCTTTAGATGAGCATTTAGACTGACATTGAATATTAGAACTGGGAAAAGTTATTTAATAATAATATGCAATAAGATTTAAGTTTTCAAAATATTAAAATTTTCAGCTTTTATTTATTTTTCTTTAAGACAATATCTCCCTCTGTCACCCAGGGTAGAGTACATTGGTGCAATCACACCTCACTGCAGCCTCAGCCTCCCCAGGCATAGGTGATCCTCCCACGTCAGTGGAGCAGCAGGGCCTACAGGTGTGCACCACTATGCCTGGCTAATTTTTGTATTTTTTGTAGAGATGGTATTTCATCATGTTGTCCAAGCTGGTCTCGAACTCCTGGGCTCAAGTGATCCGTCCACCTCAGCTTCCCAAAGGAGTAGGATTATAGGCATGAGCCAAGCACATGTAGTCCCAGCCTCCCGAGTAGGTTGGATTAGAGGCGCCTGCCACCACGCCCAGGTAATTTTTGTATTTGTTGTAGAGACGGGGTTTTACCTTTTTGGCCAGGCCAGTCTCAAACTCCTGACCTCAGATGATCCACTTGCCTCGACCTCCCTAAGTGCTGGGATTATAGGCATGACCCATCGCACCCAGCTGTATTATGCTTTGAAAGGCATGCTTTCCCATGGCCATGAGAGCCAGGGATTATTTTCTTAAAGCACAGCGCCATGCCCTTGGAGAGGTTAGATGCTGGGGATACACAGGTGACTAAGAGGGCCCTTGCTGTAGGGAGGCTCAGCCCATTAGGGATTAACAGTTTCCAAAAATGGGCCCCGACTGCTTGTTTGTGCACCCTTGTGTCCCAAGTGCCTAACATTGCATGGATGCTGTAGACATCTAATAAACACTAGATAAGACCAGGAGAATGCATGACGGAACATGCTAAGGGCCAGGAGAGTAGGCTGGGGTTTTAAAGCATTCAAATCATGACTTGACCACTTCCCAGCCTATTGAACAAATGGCTTTACAATTCTGTGCCTCACTTTTTTTCACCTGAACAACTAGAGCTGGGCCAGGCGTGGTGGCTCACGCCTGCAATCCCAGGACTTTGGGAGGCTAAGGGGGGCAGATTACCTGAGATCAGGAGTTCAAGACCAGCCTGGCCAACATGGTGAAACCCTGTCTCTTCTAAAAATACAGAAAAATTAGCTAGGCGTGGTGGTATGTGCTGGTAGTCTGAGCTACTCAGGAGGCTGAAGCATGAGAATCACTTGAACTAGGGAGGTGGAGGTTGCAGTGACCTGAGATCACACCACTGCATTCCAGCCTGGGTGACAGAACGAGACTTTGTCTCAAAAAAACTGGAGCTGGTAATAGTACCCATGATGCAGAACTGTTAAGATCAAATAATGTTAGGCTGAGGCGGGTGGATCACGAGGTCAAGAGACCATCCTGGTCAACATGGTGAAACCCCGTCTCTACTAAAAATACAAAACATTAGCTGGCCATGGTGGTGCGTGCCTGTAGTCCCAGCTACTCAGGAAGTTGAGGCAGGAGAATTGCCTGAACCCAGGAGGCAAAGGTTGCAGTGAGCCGAGATCGCGCCATCGCACTCCAGCCTGGGTAACAAGAGCAAAACTCCGTCTCAAAACAAAACAAAAAAAAAAGATCAAATAATGTTAACACGCTTAGCTCCATGCCTGGCAAGCAGTAACAACCATTAGTTTCATTAAGACAGTCACACTTTTAGGAGAAAGATAAAGTATAACACACATTCCTTTTGGAGAAAGATAAATGGAAGTGATGACTCTTGGGAACATCTTTGGAGAGAAAAAGGCATTCCAGATGGGATCAACCATGAGTGAAGGCTGAAGTGGAGCATGTATGGAGTCCACTGAGCATCTGGGATTGGCAAGTATGTCTTTGGCAACAATGGATTAGACTAAAAAGCCAAGTGAGATTGAGAGCTTAGGTCTCCCAGAGCTTGCTTTCTCCCTGGCCAGGAACTGAAAGTGAACTTTCTAACCTGGGGTGAAGTCGTCTTCTCAGATGTTGGTCCAGACCTAGATTTGAACTCTGCCTTGCCCAGAGACTCTGTGCTCCTTCACCCAGCACCCTTCACCCTGAGGTGAGACAATAGCCTCTAAGCGAGGACACCTGGTATGCACCAGTACAGACGTGTTGCTGAATGTAGAGGTCCCTGGCAGTTGTTCCTTGGTATTTTGAATGACAAATTTCTTTCAGCCTCTGTCAAAGGCTCTATGGAGTCTCTCCAGAAAAATGCACAGGTGGTAGGTTTTGCACGTATTGCCCAACAGTGCATGATATCCCTGACACCTGCGGCTCCGAGGTGAGACCTGGATAGGTGTTGAAGTCCCTTTTACTATGCCCAAAATGCCATCGAGGTGGGACTCGATGATCCAGATGCTATCACCCTCTCCCCACCCCAGGGTCTCTGCCCGTCAGCAGAGCAGTATGCTGGGAGGCTGGGATCACCCCACAGGGGAAATACTTGTTTCTGAGCCAAGACATCCTGCCAGCAGGAACCTAAACTGTCTTCAGATCCGCAAGCCCTGGGGTCTAGTCCCACACCCTGGGTCTTATTATAAAAGCACTTAAAGGATCTGAGAAACTTGGGCTAAGGTCATCTGCTTCCTTGCCAACAAAAAGAACACATGTGAAATCCACCAACCACACCACTCACTTTCCCGATCATATTTCTCCAACTCCTGACCACTTCAAAGGACACAGGGTCCCCACAAAATGGTGACAACAAATGGAGCCATTTCCATATCCTATTTTATTTTTGAAGTCAGTGTCCAGAAACTGACAATTCAATCAACATGTAATTGACTGAGGTATCCCTAGGTGCCAGGCTAGCAGGCTAGGGACCAGAGACACAATGGTAAACAAGTCACAGCCCTGTGACCCTAGAGCTTATACCCTTGGCGTAAGAAAATCCTTCTGGACTTTTACCCATGCACGTGACTGTCATGTGCCAAGTGTGCTTTACACAATCTCATTTTTCCCTCAACTCAGGGATAGATTTTCCATCATTCCCATTACAGATAGAGACGTCGAAGCTACTGAGTGGTAAAGGAAACCTGAATTCTGGTGCTGGACCCCCAAACCCATGCTAATTACAGCCTCCCAAACAATAAAGGCCCCAAACATGCCTCTCAACTCACTTCTCACAAATGCAGGCCGTTATCTGCCCCATCTCCAGGGCCATTCTGTAGCTACTTCCCACAGCTTACAGAAGTTGACCCGTGCCCCTTCGTAAGGTAGCTTCTCTCCCCTCTCTGTATACCACCTGGCTAGCCAAGGGCAGAGCAGAGACCGGGGGACAGGCCCAAGTTCCGGGTCAGCACTCACTACCTCTTCAGTGATCAACAGTGCTCACCACTTCAATGGGCACCTGTAGGTGGCACCAGATCCTCTTGGAACAATTCCTAAGTCTGGACACAGTGGCTCACACCTGCAATCCCAGCACTTTTGGAGGCCAAGGTGGGTGGATTACCTGAGGTCAGGAGTTCAAGACCAGCCTGGCCAACATGGTGAAAGTCCATCTCTACTAAAAATACAAAATTAGCTGGATGCGGTGGCACACACCTGTAATCCCAGCTCCTCAGGAGGCTGAGGTACAAGAATCGCTTGAACCCCGGAGGCGGAGGTTGTAGTGACCTGAGATCAGCCACTACACTCTAGCCCGGGCAACAGAGCAAGACTGTCTTTGCCTGTAATCCCAGCACTTTGGGAGGCGGAGGCGGACGGATCACTTGAGGCCAGGAGTTCAAGACAAGCCTAGGCAAGACAGCAAAACCCCATGTCTACTAAAACATAGAAATTAGCCAGGTGTGGCAACACACACCTGCGATCCTAGCTACTCGGGCAGCTGAGGCAGACAATCATTTGAACCTGGGAGGCAGACGTTGCAGTGAGCTAATATTCCACCACTGCACTCCATCCAGCCTGAGGAACATAGTGAGGCTCCGTCTCAAAAATAAATAAATAAATAATCAAATATAACTAAAATATTTAGTGCCAAGTACCTGATTTTGGCAGACAGCAGGAGTGGCTGTTTTCTTATGCATATTGGTTTCATAAGAACTTTTTCCCCCAGGGCACTCCTCTATAAAGCAGTCATATAGCAGTTTCCCAAACTTGAATCCCAACCTGGACTCAACTGCCCAGGGCCAGACACACCCGCCTCTGGCAAGCCAGGAGGGTTATGGTGTGGTATCACAGGCTCTATTAGTCACTTCAGGGAACAGCATTCACCAACAAACAAAGCGACTGCGCGCTGCTGCAGAAGCTCTGGCTACACTGCTGTAAAGGCTGAACACGACCAAGTAGAAGCACCAGAGTCCATGAGGCATTTTATTTGTAAATATATGTATTACATCCCTAGAAAAAGAATCCCAGGATTTTCCCTCCTGTGTGTTTTCGTCTTGCTTCTTCATGGTCCATGATGCCAGCTGAGGTTGTCAATACAATGAAACTATGGAGTGGAAAAAGAAAATGCTGGTGAGTTAATAATTCAACATAGAGCTGCTTTCTGGTGCAGAAAAACATCAACACTCATCAGTAGTTAAGGACGCCTTCCTGTGCGGCACACAGCAACAGATAGTGCCTACAATGTAGCGTATGCACATGACTCCTGCAGCCCAGAGACCCCAGCCACACACTCACACAGCCCTGACTTCTGCATACACCATGAAATAAACATGACTGAAAACAAAGGGTGGGAACTCCTTTAACTTCAAATGTCACTTTCTGCTCTCAGATAAGGAGACTTGCGGTGGCTCACACCTGTAATCCAAACACTTCGGAGGCCAAGGCAGACAGATCACCTGAGGCCGGGAGTTCAAGACCAGCCTGACCAACATGGTGAAACCCCGTCTTTAAAAAATAATAATAATGAAAAAATAAAAAAATAAAGTATTCACATAAACTTGAGTCTAAGTTGTGTTTCTACCACGCACTGTGTAATAGATACACTATTATATGGAGACATGTTCACGTGTACAATGACTGGCTGCTTCATGAGTTACCATGGGGATCAATGTAACAAGCATATAGTATGCAAATGTGAGGCATTAAAATCAGTAACATAATTACAACGAGATATGATTTTTCTTTTTCTTCAATTCTCCTACCTCAGCCTCCCAAGTAGCTGGGATTACAGGCAAGAGCCACCATGCCCAGCTAGTTTTTGTATTTTTCAGTAGAGACAAGATTTCACCATGTTGGCCAGTCTGGTCTTGAACTCCTGACCTCGTGATCCACCTGCCTCGGCCTCCCAAAGTGCGGGGATTATAGGCGTGAGCCACCACGCCCAGCCGAGACATGATTTTTCTAAGAGAACACTGTACCTGTAATACAGCAACCATGAAGTTAGAATACATTCAACCAAGACACCAAACACATAATTTGGAGGGTGTATGTATATATATATATATATATATATATATATATATATAAAAAAAAATTTTTTTTTTTTGAGACAGTCTTGCTCTGTTGCCAGGCACCAGGCTGGAGTGCACTGGCACAATCTCGGCTCACTGCAACCTCTGCTTCCCGGGTTCAAGCATTTCTCCTGCCTCAGCCTCCTGAGTAGCTGGGACTACAGGTATGTGCCACCACACCCAGCTAATTTTTGTATTTTAGTAGAGACGGGGTTTCACCATGTTGGTCAGGATGGTCTCAATCTCTTGACCTCGTGTTCCGCCCGCCTCGGCCTCCCAGAGTGCTGGGATTACAGGCGTGAGCTACCGCGCCCAACCTGGAGGGCATAAATTCTTAACCACAAACAAACGCATTTACTGTGCCAGCTCATAAAGTGCTTTACCAAAATTAAATGAGGTGATAAAGAGAGGAACTATTACTACTTTTACAGATGAAGAAATCAAGGCTATGACTTATCCAAGATCTCATGGCTTTAAAGCAGAAAAACAAGAGACAGGCTCTTAGGGACAAAGATTCCCAAAGTAAATTTTTCCAAAGGCCTAAGCTTCAGAACTGATTCTGGCCCTGAGTCTGGGATCACAGGGAACACACAGTATGAACTATCTGCAGTGAGCCAAAAGGCCAGACATGAAAGTGAACACGACCCTCCCCTTCTGCCAGACTAAGTTCTCATGTGCCTCTCAGAACCTGAAGCCCAACACATGACATGTGGCAAATGGCCAGGCACTGTGGCAGGCACCTGTATTCCCAAATCCTCAAGAGCCTGAGCAGGGAGGACTGCCTGGGGCTAGGAAGCCAAGGCTGTAGTGTGTTATGACCACACCTGTGAACAGCCACTGCACCCAAGCCTGGGCAACAAAGTGAAACCCTTTTAAAGAGAGGGAAAAGAAATACTGATTAACACTTGAACTGATTCTTAGGTCAAACTGGTTGAGAATAGACAATAGTGAGAATAGAGAATACTACTTTAGAGAAATTTAAAAAAACCTCAAGTCAAACTGCATCACAGCAACTCTTAGCATTAACTTCTTTTAATTAAGGAAAGGCCAACTTACCCAAACTGGCGGGACGGAAGCAGATTATTCTGCCATTTTTCTAGATCTTTGAGTTGCACATCAAATCTGGGGCTGATCACACCACACTGTAAAATAACAACAACAAAAAAAATATTGTTCGCTTTACCAATAACAGAAAAACAGTAACACAAGATGGCATTCATAAATGAACAGTTCTCCAAACCAACCCCCCAATGTTCAGATGGGTACCTATTCTGTGCACAATCCTTAATATGCTTTTCAAAAAATACACGTACGAAAGACTATGCCTGCCTACGAGAAAAAGTAAAGGCATGAAAAGAGACGGGACAAGGTAATACAAGGCAGTGTCAGGCCACTGGCACACTCCTGTGGGCTGGAGAGCTGTCCAGAATAATCAGATTTTACACAGCTAAGAGATCAAGTCTTAGACAAGGGAGACAATAGCCAACCCTTTCTCTCCTTTTTTGAGACAGAGTCTCGCTCTGTCTCCCAGGCTGGAGTGTGGTGGTGCCATCTCAGCTCACTCCAACCTCCGCAGCCCAGGTTCAAGCAAGTCTCTTGCCTCAGCCTCCCGAGTAGCTGGGGCTGCAGGTGTGCATCACCACACCCAGCTATTTTCTTTTGTATTTTTAGTAGAAACGGGGTTTCACCACGTTGGCGAGGATGGCCTCAATCTCCTTACCTAGTGATCCACCGGCACTGGCCTCCCAAAGCGCTGGGATTACAGGCGTAAGCCACCGCACCTGGCCAATAGCCAACCCTTTTTTACATAATGAGGCTAAAATAAAATCGTAGGGTCTCAAATCCTTAAGCTCCTAAGCTAAAACTGCAAATTCTTAAAATATCTAAGGAACACGCTATACAGGCACTGAATGAAGAACGCTGCTTCCACCAATGAAGTACAATTACACATTTCCAAGGAACAATGTCCTACAACCCCAAGCAAATTTCTCAAATGAATCTGACAGAATGATGGAAGGCAGAAAGAGCAAAGGGCTTGCAATTATCTCACCTTGTCACTACTTGGACACAGCAACAATGATCCTCCTAAGTGAGAGCTCTCCAAGGGCTGTGTCATCACTCAATTATATGCCAGCCCTATAACACTACATCTTCCAACAAAGTCCACTAACTGAAAACCCTCTGTTCATAAAATCTGCTCTACAATCACAGGCATACTTAAAGACACTTCCAAAAGCAGAGACTGACCCACAGAAACTGAAAATGGGCTTGTCAAAAAGGCCCAACTGCTTTACACCAGGAAGCCTGCTTAAGTTCTCCTACCACTACCCCATCAGCTATGCTGTGACTTGATTAACAAGAACAATCTCACAGCGGATGAAAGAAATGCAGAGATAGGAATATGGGAAAAACAGTTTTATCCAAGCAAGCTATATAGTGAAAGATATTTCCAAAGTCTGCCACATGCTGCATCCAAGTTTTGTTGATTCCAGCAGTAAAAATCCCTCTAATTCTGATACAATTAAAACAGCATAACCCTCCCAACCCAGAAGAATCCTAAGAGGATGTGATCAAGGCCAGAATTTTAATAAATCTAGTCTTTACACATTATCTTATTTCCAAGCTCAATTTCCACACTAAGGGTAGGTCCATGTCTTGCATGAAAGCAATGGAGGTGGACATTTCTCTTATAAATGGAGACAAATTAACTCCTGAGAAACAAAAATTGTTTGCAATTATCTCATCTCTCAATTTTGCCCCAAGTCACAGAGCAGGCCAGGTGCAGTGGATCATCTGAGGTCACGAGTTCAACACCAGCCTGGCCAACATAGCGAATCCCAGTCTGTACTAAAAATGTAACAATTAGCCAGGTGTGTGGTGCACACCTGTTACTAGGGAAGCTAAGGCAGGAGAATCACTTTAACCTGGGACACGGAGGCTGCAGTGGCCAAGATGATGCCACTGCACTCCAGCCTGGGTGACAGAGCAAGACTCAAAAAAAAAAAAAAAAAAAAAAAGGCACAGAGCAGCAGGGCCTGTATATCAACTGTTGTAGGCTAGAATTTCTCAAATTAGTGTACCACAGAGCAAGAGTGCCACAAATAAGTTCCATCTACAGAATGCTCTGTTCAAATTTATTTCTTGGCTGGGCTTAGTGACTCACACCTGTAATCCCAGCACTCTGGGAAGCTGAGGGGGGAGAATCACTTGAACGTAGGAGTTCAAGACAAACCTAAGCAACACAGAAAGATCCCATCTCTACAAAAAAAGTTATAAAAAATTTAGCAGTCGCCAGGCACGGTGGCTCATACCTGTAATCCAGCACTTTGGGAGGCCACGGCGGGTGGATCACCTGAAGTCAGGAGTTCAAGACCAGCCTGGCCAACATGATGAAACCGTCTCTACTAAAGATACAAAAATTAGCCAAGTGTGGTGGCACATGCCTGTGATCCTAGCTACTTGGAAGGCTGAGACAGTAGAAACACTTGAACTCAGGAGGTGGAGGCTGCAGTGAGCCAAGATGGCACCACTGCACTCCAGCCTGGGCCAGAGCAACTCTGTCTCAAAATATAAACTAATAAAAATAAATCAATCCTACTTTGATGTGGGGTTCTAATGGCTACAACTACAACAAAACATGACATACTGAAATATTACCCTTGCAAGTTCTTCAAATCTTACGGAGTTTTGCTGATCTGTCACCCAGGCTGGAGTATGGTAGCTTGGTCTCGGTTCACTGCAACCTCTGCCTCCCAAGTTCAAGCAATTCTCCTGCCTCAGCCTCCCAAGTAGCTGGGATTACAGTGGCCTGCCACGTCACCCAGCTAATTTTTTATTTTAGTAGAGATGGGGTTTCACCATGCTGGCCAGGCTGGTCTCAAACTCCTGCCTTCGTAATCCGCCTGCCTCAGCCTCCTGAAGTGCTGGGATTACAGGTGTGAGCCACCATACCAGGCCAATTCTTCAAATCTTTAATGAATACTTCAACAACTCGCTTTCTGGGTAGCTTTCCCTCCCATCTGTTGGACTAGACAAACGGGTGTCCAAGGGAGAGAATACAGTCCTGGGCTCTTAGTTTGTTTCTAGTTTAGCCAGTCAGGCCCCTTCCTCATCCCTTTTCTATTTATTACTAGAGACAGAAATTAAAAACCATGGTTTCATACTGCTAAAAGCCTAAAACAAAACACAACAACAAAATAAGGCAGGCTGGACAAGCTTAGACTAGAGGGAACTGACTCCTTGCAAATCTGAAAGCTACAAGCTTGAACAGAGGAAGCACAGTGGACCCCTCAACTAGCTTACAGACGCCTGACCCCAAAACACACCCAATCACTTAAACCACAAAGTCAGTTTTACTTGGTTAAGGTGTTGACAGGTCAAATTGAAAAGCAGCATAGGCCCCAAAGACCAACGCCAGCAAAACCAGAAAAAGTATTAGTACTGCTTTTTAGAAAGCCCCATTTACTCAAAGATAAAAATATCCAGTTCAAAACACCTAACATGTCACTGAGAGGAATGACGCAGCATCTTGGACAAAAGTCTCAGTGAACTTGAACCCAAGTTCAAGCCAGTGAGGTAGGCAGTGTTAACATCCAGTACCAGCACTGTTGCTTTCACCCCCCATCCTCCCTGCGACAGCTTATACCCCATAAAAACACTACGTCAACTGACCTAATTCTAGCACAGTCAACCCAGGAGAACAAATGAAGGTATATGGATAAAGCATGGCACCACTATTCAGTATATACACAACAGCATGCCACATTAAAAAATTCTTAAGGCTTTGAAATGTGTGTAGATCACTAAATCTTACCTTGTTTAGCCTGCCTGTGAGGTTCACAACAATTTTCCCAGCTCTGTGATCATCAATGATTTCAAATTCGCCAATGTAACCTGCAAAAGATAACTGGATTAAATACAAGACCAACTTGAGAGCTAAATCTTTGTGCTCCTCTAACCTACTCAATTCTTCACTCTCTCATCACCTCAGTGACTGCTTCTCCAAGAAGTTGGGGGGAAAACAGTTGCGCTTTATCAGAATTTTCACAACCTAATATAAAAGATTTAGGAGACAATACCCAAAACAATCCACCTTGCAATTCTAAAAAGAAATTATTTACCCCTTGCCCCTTCCTTCACTCTTTCCCACTCCCAAAGGCTACTTTATGCCAAAGATGTGAATAATCCAGTCTTTCTTCTCCCTCCCAAAGGGTCCTGTAAAGAGCTCAGGAGTCTCACACTGTCCCCCAGGCTGGAGTGCAGTGGCCCGATCTCAGCTCGATGCAACCTCCGCCTGCTGGGTTCAAGCAATTCTCCCTGCCTCATCCTCCCAAATAGCTGGGATTACAGGCACCTGCCACTACACCTGGCTTTTTTTTTCTTATGTAGAGATGGAGTTCCCGCCATGTTGGACAGGCTAGTCCTGAACTGAGCCCAAGAATCCTTTCAATGACTCGGGTTCATTTAGCTCTCAAACACCTAGCAGGGACCCTTTTCCCAGCAGTCCTACCCTAAGTGACTCTTTAGCAGTTTGCATTCGTTCTCAGGTATGGCAGACATATACTTTGGTCTCCGGTAATTTCTACAGGACTGATTTTTTTTTGTTTTTGAGATTTGTTCTTCTTGCCTATCCTGGAGGGCAATGGGGCAATCTTGGCTCACTGCAACCTCCACCTCCCAGGTTCAAGAGATCCTGCCTCAGCCTCTCAAGCAGCTGGGATTACAGGCATCTGCCACCACACCCAGCTAACTTTGTATTTTTAGTATAGATGGGGTGTCTCCATGTTGGTCAGTCTAATCTCGGCCTCCCAAAGTGCTGGGACTACAGGCATGACCCATCATGCCTGGCCTAGGGCTGATTTCTTAAAGAGTCTCACATTAAAACATAAAACACAGCGGCAGCTCACTTACCATGCTTCATCATCACAGTGAGAAACCGGACGATGACTTTGGAGCACGGCCTAATAAGCACCTGGCGTTTGCCTCTCTTTTCGGCATTGTTGATGCTCTTGAGAGCATCAGCCAGGACATTCATGCGCACCATTGTGGCTGTTCAGGGGAGACAAAACAGGAGGTTTTACTGGCATTGCCGACATCAACACTCACCAACCATTACACTGCAGAAACATCATTTTCTTTCTGGCCCCACCTTGGCGAAGTTGTCTTAAGTCTAAGCAGGCTGCTTCACCGTTTCCCACCACCCAGCAAAATTCCTATTTACTACGGTTATTGAAAACAGGTTATCGGCACGTCAGCCTGCACATTTTGGGAAACTCATTCATTCGCTAACCACTCTTCTTCGAATCGTGCCACACACCACCGTCTGGAGGTAATAAAATGTGGAACAAAATCCACTTGACACAAGAAAACGTCAGAATTGGTGGAAACTGCCAGGACCAAAACGAAAACCTTGGATATACTCAACCAGTGATTCAGAACACAAGCAGAGCGACACCGGCAACATTTTTCAAATCGCGGAAAATCAGCAGATTCTGTACTGTTAACATTGTCCTTTAAATCAGTTCACTTTCACCTACCACGAAGACATCTATTAAGGTAAACATCCATATTTGTGCCATCTAAAATTGTGTCTAACAGCAAGAGCCACAGTGGCAAACAGAAACACTGTACATGCTGTCAGACTTGACTCTTCTAATGGGCACGAACCGCACAATAAAGTTTTGAAAGCTCAAGTATGGAGACCAAAGTGCCAACAGTAAAGAGTAGAACTTCAGTCTTCTCCCCTTAAGTTCAACAAAGTGTCTAAAGAAAAACTCCGCGGCCCAGAAGATCCAAGTTAGCACCCAGCAAACTACCAACCCCAGCACGAAGCAGCTTTTACCTGCTAGGTGACCTCAGCCTCCAAAGCTCCAAGCGCGGCCGCGGCAATGAGAAACTGCACCGCCCACCAAACCCGATGCTGCCCGACGCCTGCGGCCAAGGCGCTGCTTCAGCCACTAAAGGAAGATCCAGACGCTGTGGCCCAAGCCGCAGCTACCGCCTAACTGGGTAGTCCAAGGCTCCGGCTCCCGCCAGCGCTGCGGCCTGGACCCGACGGAGCCGGATCCCCGGAGTGCACAGCCTGGGGCGGCCGGGCATGGCTATTCTCTATGCCTGTCCAAGAACCCGCAAGGCCAGCATCCTCGACCAAGGAGGGGTCCAGCCTCCCCGCAGGACATCGAGACCGAACCTTATATTGCGGGATGGCGCAGATGACAGACGGATGAAATCGGAGATCTCAGAGCGGTATACTCACCGGCACGGAAAGATGGCGGAAAGAGGACGGGAGGGGAGAGTGCACGGAGTTATGGGAAGCAGGGAGCTATCGCGAGACTTTCAAAGGACCGGCAAAAACAAGAACCGCCTAAGAGGAGGAGGGCTAGGCGGAGCCTCCTCAGGGGTTGGCAGTCGAGAGTCGATGGAATCGACCTTTCCTGGTGCGGCCTGGAAGAGGCAAGGCAAGCTGTTCTTTGGAGGTTCGTCTACTTTTTATTTATTTTATTTTATTTTTGATACGGAGACTCGCTTTGTCGCCCAGACTGGAGTTCAGCCCAGGAGTTCAAGATCAGCCTGGGTAACATAGGGAGACCCTGTCGTTTTGTTTTTTAGTTATCCAGGTTCCAAAAATTTGCAAGTTTTCTAGAACCTAGTTCGACCAATACATTCAGAACTTAGATGCTGTATCTTTTGAGACTGAACCTTTATTTTCTGAAAAACATATTTCATACAGTCTTTGCCATGTTAATGCAAATATGCACAAAGTAGCCATATATTTTTGTTTTCCAGCAAATGCATTATGAACATTTTCAGGAAGCTAGTGTGATTTATTCAACTTTTAAATACAACCACAAAATTATATCATCAGGAGGCATTATAACCTTTTGTACAGAGAAGCCAATACTTATACAATGTTACTAGGACAAGGAAGATTCAGTTCTTTTTATTTTTGATACCGAGTCTCGCTCTGTCCCCCAGGCTGGAGTGCAGTGGCAGCGATCTCAGCGCACTGCAGACTCCACCTCCCTGGTTCAAGCCATTCTCCTGCCTCAGCCTCCCAAGTAGCTGAGATTACAGCCATCACACCAGGCTAATTTATGTATTTTTAGTAGAGATGGGGTTTCGCCGTGTTGGCCAGGCTGGTCTTGAACCTCTGACCTCAAGTGATCCGCCCACTCCGGCCTCCCAAAGTGCTGGAATTATAGACGTGAGCCACCACACCCAGAAAAAAAAATTTTTTTTTGATTAAAAAATAATTGAATCTCAGACATAAGTCACCCAACAGTTGCTTACTGAGCACCATGTACCAGACACCAAGCAAGGCCCTGGAGTACAAGGTGCCCACACAGGCATCATCTAGCCAGTTCTGTCCCATGCTCAGTCTTCTAGCTTCATTCTCTCTCACACATCATCATTGGTCCTTGCTCATTCATTGCATTTCCTCTTCCCTCTAGCATGGTGCCTGGATATTTGCTAAATAAGTAAACTTAAACCTTTTATTTTTGTTCTTTAAATTTTTCATGGACTCCCGCTCTGTTGCCCAGGCTAGAGTGCAGGAGTGCACTCATAGTTCAATGTAACCTCAAATTCATGGACTCCAGTCAATCTTCTGCCCAGGTCTCCCAAAATGGTAGGATTACAGGTGTAGCCAACATGTACCTTATAGACGTGTAAGGACCACACAGGGTACTTCATTAGTCAGATTCATAAATCCAATCATGCGAATATTATATTGGCTAAGTTATAAAGAAAGTGAGACATGAAGATTCTGGCTGTTTTTATTTTTTCCCCTTTTACACAAAACCAAGTAGAAGAAATAATACAGGATTAAAACTGCAAAAGTAGTTAATCAGTAGAACATGTATACACAAAAAAATCCAGATAGGAAGACAGGCTTATTTACAATTAACGTAAGGTAAAATTAAGGTGTTTTTCTTATGAAATATTTTAAAAAATCAAACATATGCTACAAAGGGCACCACTGTTTACAGCAATATTAAAGAGGAGAAAACAACACTTACTTAATAGGGACAGATATACCACAAGTTACACAACATCAGTGCAATAAATTCTCAAAACTATATTACAGCTAGTTCATCAGTTTAAGAATTGTTCCCAAGTCAGTCACATTTTTGGACCTCAGAAGTTGATTCCTACAGATTTCAACTACTACAAATTTCTAGCTACCGAGAAGTTAAGAATGATTATAAGAAGCTTTCCAAGGAGTTACAAAATCTTTGTAGACCAGAGGCGAACTATCATCACCTCAAGTCTGCTCTCACCAACAGCCCTTGTATTTTTCAGGGAGAAATCTCTAGGAAAAAAGTCAAGACACCAGTGTAGTCACTATCTTCCATGTCAAACCTAGGGGACTAAAATGGCCAGTATTACCATAAAATGAAAATTTTGAGGTTTACCTTAAAAGGTTTATTCTGATATCAAAAAATCAGTCAGATTATCTTCTACTAAAATGAATCTTGACTAAACATAGAAGACTGCCGTCCTTTGTTGCTGGTCTTAGAGTACAAGTCATAGACGTGAGTCTTAACCTACTGTATACTATATAGCTAAAGTCAGCTGAAAATCTGAAATTAAAAGTATGCTAGAGATCCTAAATGCAATCTTTTGGAACTCTGCCATTAAAAAGCCTTTAAGGATTTACTAACTTCAAGTCTAAGTGCAAGGGGACAAAAGCTTAAGCCTGTCAGACATTCCTTTTTCATGGACAAAAAGATCAGTTTCCTAAAAATAGCTAAGCTTTGCACAAGGGAGAAACCTACACATACTAGTGCATGGAATCAATTTCATTTTATTCCATGGGGACTCTTCTCCCACAGGAAAGAAACAGAATGAGGAATGAATCTTACTTGGTCTCTTCATCAGAAGTGGTAAACTTGGTCTCTGTATTCATGAAGTCAGTTTTTTAAGCAGACTGTGGAAGCAGACAGTAGAACCAGCTTCCTGTAGCCACAGACCACTACACTGAATCTAGCTAAAGCAAAGATGAACTTGAACAATTATCCAGAGTCACTTGAACTGTACTGAAGGGCAAGGTTCACCACTATAAAAAGGAAGTTGTCAAAAAACAAGAATTCAATTAACCCTTGCTACAAAAAATCAAAACAGGTCAGACAGAGTCACCCATGAGGCCAACTGCTAAGAACTCACTCAACTATGCAACATGAAGACACTATGCACAAAGCCTTACTTGGCGAGCCTCAATTTCTATTAACTAAGGGCAGAGTGAAGAAGAGCAAAGAGCTACTTCTGAAACATTTTAGTATCCACATAGTACAGCAGAAACGGTTCCCAGGGGCAATGGGTGCTCCATTAATCACGCTGAATAAAGCAGATGAATTATTCGTTTTTCTTTTCTTTTTGTTTGAGAAGTTTGTTTATCTCCCTTTTGGCCATTCCAATGTACTTCGAAATGATTCCATGTTGGTTTAGTCCAGGAAGCAATAGTAAGGAAGTCACTTAAAATAAAAAAATAAACAACATTAAGGAGGCAGCAATTAACTTGCTAAAGGTTATTATTATTTTTTTTTTTTTTTTGAGAGGGAGTCTTACTTTTTTTGCCCAGGCTGGAGTGCAGTGGCACCACCTTAGCTCACTGCAACCACTGCCTCCCGAATTCAAGCAATTCTCCTGCCTCATGTTCCCGAGTAGAGCAGCTGAGATTACAGGCACCCGCCACCATGCCCATCTAATTTTCGCATTTTTAGTAGATACAGGTTTTCACCATGTTGGCCTGGTCTCGAACTCCTGACCTCAAGTGATCCAAGGTTAGTGTGTGTGTGCGTGTGTCAGTCTTGCTATGGTACCCTGGCAGTGGTGTGATCTCAGCTCACTACAACCTCCACCTTCCAGGTTCAAGTGATATTCATGTCTCAACCTCCTGAGTAGCTGGGACTACAGGGTGCGCATCACCATGCCTGAATAATTTTTGTATTTTTAGTAGAGATAGGGTTTTGCCATGTCGCGCAGGCTGGTCTCTAACTCCTGGCCTCAAGTGATCCACTTGTCTCAGCCTCCTGAAGTGTTGGGATTACAGGTGTGAGCCACCATGTCTGGCCAGTTATTACATTGTAAAGGTAGGTTCCCAGATTACTAAACTCAGTAATGGGAGGAACCAACAGGAAACCAATTACTTCCACTGGGGTATATCCCCAAAAACTTCTCTTATCCCCTTTTCCACCTCAGAAAAGAATCACTGCTTATTTTTACGTCTCGCACATTACTTTCTACCTTGGTTATTTCGTTGTTTTCACTTTCTATGAGACCATAATAATCTTTCTATATTCCCACAGTTCCCTTCCAGTATCTAAAACTTAGGAAGTACTCATAGTTGTTTACTGACGAAGTTACAGTTAAACCTCACCGGCCAGGATATGCCTGTAGTTTTTCCTCAAAGACTTACCTATCAGGTAGGTAAGAAGCAGGTTGTGGACTTGCTGTCCCACCCAAGCAACCGCAGCAAGGGAAACAATCATGGTCATGAAGTACTAACAACAAAAAGAAGAATTTATCAACTCCTAGAAACAGACTAAGCCTGACTTTAAAGAAACTGTTTTACCATTCTACAATCTTTACATATATCAAAACTTCATGTGATACCATAAATATATGTAATTTTTATTTGTTAATTAAAGAGTTTCTTTCAAAAGTTTGGAAAATCATTTAGCTTTTATTATCACTTTTCTTTAAAAATTCTTTAAAAACCTATTCCATTGGATCTACTTTACAGAAGTTTGATACATTTCCTCCTAGAATTATTGCAATTCTATATGTCAATATTTTATGATATAAATTATACCTTTCCAATTAATAACTTCATGGAGCAGCCTCACGTGAAGCTGCCACATAAGAGAACAGATGAACAGGTGCATTCCTTTTTTTTTTTTTGAGACAGAGTTTCATTCTGTCACACAGGCTGGAGTGCAGTGGTGCAAACAGCTCACTGCACAAACAGCTCAATGGAGCCTCAACCTCCTGGGCTCAAGTGATCCTCAGCTACACGGATTACAGGCATGAGCCACTGTGCCTGGCCTAAACAGATCCTTTCTAAGTATATGTCTTTTTACTAGTATTTCAGTAAGAAAAATGAAACAGAAGAATTTTGTTTTCATAGAATAAAAAAATTAACTGCAAAAACGTAATTTTTAACTTTAAAATGATTCAGTCTGGTTAACACAAGTAAACACTTATGAATGTATTTAGGAATTTACCAATGAATAAATTTCAAATTATAACTATTAAGACAAAAAGGCAAAGTAACTCAAATTTTTAAATTTTACTGTACTTATTAAGTCAAAGCAAAAAAAGTACCATCTTAGGTTTTTCTTCCTTTAGTGTGAAGAGGC